ACAGGTCTGCTGCACCTTCTGCCGTCAGGGTCTCATAACAGGCTGAGAAGTGGACCTGCTTGGTAAAGCGGTCGGCGGTGACCAGGATCGAGTCAAATCCATCAGACTTTGGCAAGCCGATGATCATATCGGTCGTGATGATCTGCCACGGGTGCTCGGGGATCTCATTCGGCTTCAGCGGACCCCGGGGTTTGGCTGGGAATGTCTTGGTATGGTTGCACACGTCGCAGGTGCTTACGTACTCATTGACAAATTTGGACATCCCAGGCCACCAGTAGTTCCGCGACACGAGCTCCAGGGTTTTGGCACGGCCACCATGACCGGCGATCGGCGAGTTGTGGTGGATCTTAACTATATCCCGCCGGAGCTCTGCGTTCCTTGGGACGTACACGCACCCGCGGAACAGCAGAAGCCCTTGTTCGGCATTCCACTCCTCAAAACCCCTTTGCAGCCGGGGCGGCCCGAGGTCCTGCACCTTTTCAAGTGCCTCGGCCACCTCCCGATCCTTTTTTGAGCACTCTCTGATGCGCTTCAGAAGCGACTGATCAGCTATCACCAAAGCGTGGCCACGTCTGGCAGAGGCGATGCGAAAACGTTCTGGTTTGAGAACCACCTAATCGGTGTTATTGTCCTCATTGCCGACCTGATGGTCCGATCGTCGTGACAGGGCATCAGCCTTTCCATTCGATGTCCCGGCCTTGTGCGTGATGCGGAAGTCGAAGCGAGCTAGGAACAGTGACCAGCGTGCTTGACGACGCGTGAGATGCTGAGACGTGCGCCAGTACTCGAGGTTCCTGTGATCGGTGACGATCTCGAACTGATTGGGTAACCCCTCGAGGTAGTGGCGCCAATTGTCTAGCGCCTCAATGATCGCGAGCATCTCCTTATCGTAGATCTCGTAGTTCCGCTGTGCCGGATCCATTGCATGGGATCTGAAGGCGATGGGATGCCATTTGCCATCATCCTGCTTCTGCATCAATACGCCGCCAGTGGCGTAGCCTGAGGCGTCAACCTCAATGCGCGTCTCTCAATTAGGGTCGTACAGCGCTAAGACTGGGGTTGTCGCAAAGAGCCGCTTGAGCTCGTCAAAGGCGTGCTGCTCATCTTCGCCCCAATGCCATGGGTCGTTCCCTGTGAGTCGGTCGAGTGGTCGCGAGATCTTAGCAAAGTCCTTAATGAAGCGGCGGTAGAAGTTGAAGAACCCCCGGAACTTCTGAACATCTTTCTTGTTCCGGGGTACCGGCCACTCATTAATTCCTTTTAGTTTCGCGGGATCCATCGCTACCTCATCGCCACTGAACACATAGCCGACGTAGTCGACTTTGGGAGCATCCCACTCGCACTTCTCAGGCTTCAGGAACAGATCATTATCCTGAAGGCGGCGCAGAACCTCGCGTGTGACCTTCTCATGCTCCTCTTTATTGGTGGAGAAGATGAGTATATCGTCCAGGTACACAAGGATCTTGCCGCCGACAATGAGATCATGGAAGATCTCGTTCATCATTGCCTGGAAGGTCGCGGGGGAGTTGGTGAGACCAAAGAACATCACCAAGGGTTCGTACAACCCTCGGTTAGTCACAAAGGCCGCCTTCCATTCGTCACCGGCTTTGATCCGGACATTGTTATAGCCCCATCTAACATCGAACTTTGTGAAGAGCGTAGCGCCGCGGAGCTTATCCACCATCTCGGCGATCAATGGCAAGGGGTAACAATTTTTGACCGTGATCGCGTTCAATCGGCAGTAGTCCTGTACGGGTCAAAGTGTCCCTTCCTTCTTTTTGATGAAGAAGGGAGACGAAATGGGTGACTTTGATTCCCGTATATAGCCTTTCGCCAACTGCTCTTTTAGGAACTTGTCCAGTTCCTCTTGTTCATTGTTTGACAGGGGATACACCTTCGAATGGAACGTTGAGTAGCCGGGCACGAGTTCGATCGCGTGATCGTAAGGCTTCCTTTCAGGTAGCCGTTCTGATGCTTCCTTGGAGAAGACATTCAGGAACTCGTGGTACTGTTTACGTACCGACTCCTCGGCGGTCTTAACGACCTTCTTTTTGATCTCTTCCTCAGCGAACAGCTGGGAGTACGTATGCCCGGCTGCGACGAACAGCTGAGGGGTGCCGGGAAGCGTGACACCTTGCTCCCAGGCTTCGATCAAGTCGGCCTCATCCCACTCCACTTCTGCCGGATCTTCTTCGGGTTCGAAGTCCGGAAGTATCTTACTCTGGCAAGTGCCTATAACCGACCGTCTGGACTTCGGCGAACGCCTGTGCGCCGTGGGCCTGACCCCCGTATCACGCGCAGTCACTGCTTGTTCCATCTGGCCAGTCCTCCTGGCACTGCACATTTCAGGGCATCGTGACAATTTGAGGGAGCCTTTCTCCCAATCTATTTCGGGGTTGTGCTTGCGTAGCCAATCCAACCTGACAATCACATCCTCTGGACCAATGTCCGTGACCGTAAACACCGTTTTCTCAACGTGCTCTCCTACATGCATCTGTAGCACTGCTACTTCCGAGATGCTTCCGTCTTTGTTAAGGGTGCCGTCAATATTGTATAGTGGAATCGGCTCTTTTAGCTTCCACGTCTGCACCTTATTTTCTGTGATGAATTGCTTATTGATAAACTTCGTGGTGGCTCCGCTGTCCACCATAGCGATTATGTCCTTGTGCCATCTTTTTCCTCTAAGGCGCACCGGGATGTGGAAATGCTGGGACCCGTGGTCCAACTCATACACATTAGCGGTCGCCAATACATTGTACACATTGTTATTACACGGCCCGACGCGTGCGGCACGAAGCGTGGACCGGATCAAAAAGACTCCTCTTTGAGCGCTCGATAGTGCTCCAGCTCCTCGCGCATCGACTTCATCTGTGCTATTAAGTCCGCCAGCTCGGAACTTTCCGATTTCGCTGAAGCGGCGCTTATACTCGCCGAGGATGAAGCAACGGGGGCGCTTGTCACGAGTTGGTACGGCGCCTAGCCATTTTTTAATTTTTTCCTTTTCGCGGGCTCGAACCCGCGACCTCTGTACTACCTGCCTGATATGGACGCATCGTTATCTACTGTATGATTAGATTAGATGGGGCAGCAGTGCATGGCACAGCTTGGGCTCCGCTGACACAGCCGCTCTGACTCACCGGCCCCCGGGGCCGCGTCGGCATGCTGTGCACGGACCAGCTGCGCACGGACCAACGCGCACAGCCTCCCCTAAACTCCCCCTGTATATAAGCCTGCCTCTGCTGCCCTAGGGACCTCAGTTTCGACCTCTTGTCCCTAGGTCAGTAAGCCCTCACTTGTATCCTTACTTACCCTTTACTAACTAATACATTTCTTGTCCCTAGCCTTAGGTTTGAGCCCAGCTCACCATCGCTTCGGTAAGATAAGTCGAACGCCCCCAGCGTTTGGTTTTCCCCTGTCGCTCGACCCTAAGTC